GTGGTTTTCCCCAACAGGTATTTAATATCCTTCATTGAGCTTTAAAGTAAAGATTGTCCTTGGATCTCTTGAAACACTTCCTTTACATGTAGTGTGGCAGTATTCAGCATTAACCAGGCATTGCATCTCTTATTTATAATGCAGGAAATCACTGGAGTCTTCAAGATGAACTGCATGTTGCACTATCCGATGTATAGGAACGTTTTCCCACTCTGGGCACTGGCAGAGTACCGTAAGCGGGTTCCACTGCCCTGATGCCTTTGTTGTTGTATGTAGGAATTCGAATGCATATCTCTACTAAATTACTATGGTAAAGTGGATGGGAGTTGAACGAATAATGTGTAATACTATAATTATATTACTTGTTACTGCAGCTATAAATAATTTTTAGTTATAGATTACGATATACGAGTGTTTTTAATTAATTTCTTTAAATATATAATTATTATACTTTTTCTCATTAATTAAGATTAAAAAACAAAAATAAATATTAATTTTACCATTAGTATTATATAAATCATTTTAATTGAACATATAATTAATGAATTAATGGTAACCCTTTATTTTTTTTAATATTAGTCGCTCTATTTCTTTTTTAAATAGAGATAAGAGATAAGACATGTCATAGTTCCCTCTATTTCTAAATACTAAAGGTTTTGGAAATAAAAATATTTTTCAATTTATTTGTTGTTTTCAGATTTTTAGATTACATTAATGTTTTTCTTTCAATTTTACCCTCCTTACATAAATATCAAATGCCAAATAACGTAAACAACGTTTGCCTCGTTGTTTTCCGTTTATCTTCTTCTCAACCCAATCCTGTTCTCCTAAACTTATTGTTAGAATTTTAAGGATTGAAATAAGTAGAATTTAAGATATTATGATACAATCAAATAAGATAAATTGTGTACCTTAATTTCCATTATTAATATTACCTAAGAATTTTAAGGATAATCATAGACAAAACCTACAAAACAAATATAATTAATATTTGGATTAAAGTCTTTTCCTTCTTATTCAACTTTTGTATAGTTGTTACTCTTTAACTCTATTATTTATAGGAATAGAGCTTTCTAAATGAAAAAAAAAAAAGGATATAATTCATTATAATAATCTTTCGGGCACCTCCATCAAGTAACCAATCTTTAATTGTCAACATTAAAATAGCATATCTGGTCCTCTAGCTTCTACATGGTGGGCACTTTGTCTAAATGACCAAATAAACACTGAACTCAACAAGAAAATACAACACCCTTGTCTATATATATGGCTAAAATTTGTCTTAACTATTAACAAAAAATATAACAAAAGCTCATTTATATGGCCAAAATTTGTCTAAATTGTTAATAAAAAATATAACAAAAGCTTGTCTAAGTAACACATGTAATGCCCACTATTGTTCAAAACAACCTAAATCAAAAGCTAAAAATTACAATCCCTCTCTATCTTAAAATTATTGTTATTTTAATTTTTAATTTGAGAGCTCTCTCGCCATCTAATAAAATTAATAATTTAGTGCAAAATGAAACCATTGAATGAGAGGTGAAACCTTTGAATGAGAGGTGAAACCTTTAATATTAAGAGCTCTCCTTTTCATCTAATAATAAATAGTATAGTTCGATGCAATCAGAACTACACCACATTTTTCCTTTTCATAAACACCTTACCCTCTTCAACTCAAAATTATGTATAGTCTTAGCCTAGATAGACTTAATAATGCCTATGTAGTTGCTGATGTAGAAATATACACCTCTAGAAGAAGGCTGATCAAACTTCGTATGAACTGCGTGGGCCATGATGGGTTGGATTCATGCTGGACAGGTAAATTTGTAGTAAAAAACTCATTATCATTTCATGTATTGTTCTTTTGATGGTTTTTTATTAAAATTTTGATCATAAAATATAGGCAGAAAGAGATTCAACACCCCTTCACCGAGCATCCCAAGCTAATCATTAAATCTCAATTGGAGGATGGTGATTTCCTCCAACAGGTTTTAATTTTTCATGTTACTTTTTTACGTAAATGTATAGAACCTTAAGTGTGAAATGTAAACTGAAATGAGACAATTAAAAATGACTCCTAGATTTGGTCTAAAACCACTTCTCTTGCTTGTAGGATGACAGGATTCAACATTAACCAGCAATACATCTCTTCTTTATGTCAGAAATTAATCACTAGAGTCTTCAGTAAGAATAGTATGTTACATTACGCAGCTCATAGAAACATTTACCCACTTTGGGCACTTGCGGAGTAGTGTAGGCGGGTTGTATTGCCTTTGATGCTGCCTTTGAGATCAAGACAAAGTAGAGATTAACTAATTTAATTTATTTCTTTATATAGTTTTCTCAGTTTCTTACACAAAAGTTGTTATATTTATAATATTTTAGAAAAAATTATTATGCAATTCAAAGTATACTGGATTAATATTAATTATTGAATAAAAATTTAATCATATGATATCAAAGGTCTTCTCTAATTTAATGATTTTTATTTTATAATTTAATATAATTTAAACTATAAAACAAAATTTTTTAAATATTTTACTATCCTAATGTTGATGGAACGAAGCATGTATAAATACAAATAAACAAACGTTTATCCCTCCTTACAAAACTGCTAATATTTTATTTTTTGAAATGTTTAATCCCTCCTTTTAATCTCCTAATATATAGAGAAATATGACCCGACATGGTTCTTCTGAGTTGGTCGATCAGTGCCGGATTACCACTAACAAACAAATAAACGTCTTCTTCTTTCTATTCTAATCCTTCCAGTGATTCGCCCTTATGGCTTTAGTTCCATTGATTAAGGTGCATTAAATTTTTGGTTAATGTCAGAATTTTATCAATTGTAATAATAGCAAAATTATTCCCTTTACCCTAAAAGTTTCCTATGTTCAAAAAAAAAAAAAAAATCCTTCCAGTACAAACATACAAAAAAATTTCTATTTAGTTCAAGACTGATTGTTAAATTTTTTTATGTTCTGTTTTGGTAATATGAATTTGATTTTTTTTTGCGGTCAACACCTTTTAAAATTTTTCCTCCCTATTCATACCCTTGGTTTTTCAAAACCTGTAAAAAAAACTTAATATTTTAACAAACCGTAACAAAAATATTAAAAAATGTATTACGTGACACCCAAAAATTGACTGGCACTATATGGCATTAGTAATCCAATGTGGATTCTTTTTTGATGACATGGCATAATTTTTTACACAAATGGATGCAATATGTAAAGTAAAACCAATAAAAAATTGTAATACATGGTACCAAACAATAACATGAACCTTATGTTACGTCATTAATCCAACATGGACTTTTTTTTTTTTATGATATGGCATTTCTTCATCTTTTTCTTTCCCCCTCATCCTCGGCATCATCTTCACCATCCTCCATCTTCACCATCCTCTTCTCCTCTTCTCAATGGTTTCTACGGAGCCCAGATTCTGGGTTCTTACGCGAAACCCAAATTCTAGGTTCCTCATCGGGAACCCAGTTTTGGGTTCCATGCAAGAACCCAAATCTGGGTTCCCCGAGGCCCAAATTCTGGGTTCTTGCACAGAACCCAGATTCTGGGTTCCTCGCGGGGAACCCAAATCTGGGTTCCTGCTGGGTTCCGTGCAGGAACCTAGATTCTGGGTTCCGACCTTTTTTTTTTCCTTTTTTTATTCCTTTTTTTATTTTGAATGTATTTATCTTAGTTTCTTATTTTATGCAAAGCAATTTGGAATAATTTTTTTGTTGGAAAAGTGAGTTTTTTTGCTTGGAGATTGTTTCTGAACAAGTTGCCAATTTGAGTTCAAGTGGGATTAACATGAATGGCAATAACGGTTTTTTCATTTTTTGTGGGAAAGGGGTGGAAGATGCATATCATGTTTTTGTACAATATTCATTTACTTATAATTGTGTGGATGAAGATCTTAGCTTGGTAAGCATTCATGTGAAACTAGATTCCATGAGGAACTCAGAACTTGGGTTCCGCGAGGAACCCAGGATGATGAGGACGAGGATGGTGAAGATAATGCCGAGAAAGAAGAAAATGAAGAAATTAAAGTTAATTATGATTTAATTATAACACATTATTAAAAAAAAAAAAAAAAAGGTCCACATTGGATTAATAAATGTGACATATCGTCCTGGGTTCCTGGTTCCATGAGGAACCTAGGAGGATGAAGAGGAAGATGATAAAGATGATGCCAGAAAGAAGAAAATGAAGAAATTAAAATTAATTATGATTTAATTATGCCACATCATAAAAAAAAAAATCTACATTGGATTAATAAGGTGACATAACGTTTATTATACTGTTTAATGCCACGTAATATAATTTTTAACGGTTATTAATGTTTCCGTTACAGCCCGTTAAAATATTGAGTTTCTTACGGGTTTTGAAAAGTTGAGGGTGTGAATAAGGAGGAAAAATTTTGGAAGATGTTGACCGCAAAAAAGAATTAAATAGAGGGTGCAAATAGGGGCTTTGGCCATTCCCCTTTCACCCATCCAAAAGGATAATGCTATGGGGGCAACCCCCTGGTAAGCCAAGGGAGGCCGCCTTCCTTGGCACCAATAAATTCTTTCCTTTTTTCTAAGGTAAATTTATTATTTAGCTCCTATTTT